CTTCCCTGTGAGGCACCGTCTTTCTTGTTAGACAGGCGGGAAGGCTAGCCTCTTGAACACTTTGACCGCTTTAAAAACAAAACAAAACAAAACAAAACACCACACAACACTCCAACATTGCAACCAGCCCAGGTGTTCCCAATGACCTGTTTCCTGTGTGACGGAAATACAGCTTCCCCAGGCCAAGGGCAAGATGGGTGGGTAAAGCTGCTTCATCCTTCCCATAAGCAGTAAACCCACAGCACATGATTAATAAACTGCCCCTAACACTCACACCAATGAGTAACATACACCTGTCAACAGGAGCAGGCTAGGTCCATGGTGACCAGCCGGAGGAAGATAGTCCGAGCTTGGCTTTGACCCCAACACTTTAAAGTTGTGTGACTGAGAGCAAGTCAACAACAGAACCTGGGATTCATTAAGCGTTCACTCACCTTCACCCACCAGGAAGGACTGGGCTCCATGTGAGGAGGCAGTGATACAACATCTCTGCTCCCAGACCTTACATTTTAGTTGGGTGAGACAGAAAATAATTGAAATATAGAGTATGCCAGATGCGCATCCAGGCCGTGGGGAAAAACAGGACAGGTGAGGGAATTAGTGAGTGCAAAGATAGAGGGTGAAAATGTATTTTAAGTAGAATATTCAAGGGAGGTCTCATTCAGGATGTGTGTCAGAACAAAAACCTAAAGGCAACGAGGGAGCAAACCATGTAGATGAGTGAACACCGGGGCAGAAGGGGACGGACATCAGGTGCCAAGGCCCAAGCAGGGATGTGCCAAGCTTGAGGATGAATGACTGCTTAAGCCTTAAGCTCTTTGGAGGAAGAGCAAAGAACTACACGGAGCAGGAGCTCAGTGAATGTCCATGGGAGACAGGGAGCCGGAGAGGGACTATAACATCACATTCACAGATTCCGAGGGTGAATTTTGGGAACAGAGAAAAAGAAGCATCCATTTTATAAAGCTGGAGAAAAATAGGTGATTAGCTGATTTTATGTCCTGTCTTTCTGACCTTCCTTCTCTTAAAAATATTGACCAAATGGAGATGATTCAAGGAATTTGAAGATTTGTTTTTTATTTTTGCTTTCTGGCTTTGTTTTGAGTTGAAAATAAGAATGTTTTTTTTTTTTTTTTTCGTTTGCTTTTTAAAAAAAAAACTATATTTAAGACATTTTGTGTATATATAGACTTTTCTTTTTAATCTTCACCCAGGAATATTTTTCCATTGATTTTAGAAAGAGTGGAAGAGAGAGGGAAAGACAGGAACATCAATGTAAGAGAAACACATCGATTGGTTGCCTCCTGTACTGACTAGGGCCTGGGCCAGGAGGAGCCTACAACTGAGGTAAGTGTCCTTGACCAGAATCGAACCCGGGACCCTTCGGTTCACAGGCCGATGCTCTATCCATTGAGCCAAACCAGCTAGACTATAGATCTCTTTAAGATTAGAGCGTGGAGTTCAAATTATTAACACTCTCAAAATAATTTTATTATTTGGAAGATATTAAAATACCATTTGTAACAATAACAAATTTACAGGGGAATTATTAATTAATAGAAATGTTTCCCTACCGACCCCCGCAAATGGTCAAGAGAATTGTGCCTGCAACTTGGGATGTTCTTTTGCTATGGTTTGGACAGTTTCTACTTGCCTTTGAAAATAACTTTGGATGACTTTTACATGACTATGTTATTGTTTTCATAAATGTTATTTTTAGGAATTGGAAATAACACAAAGTTCTGGTAGATTTGCCACTTGTGCTTAGTAACTTGTGTGACTAAACGCCTTTCCCAAAAAGTGACTGAGCAACATCAGCCCGGAATAGTAAGTGTAAAATTAATATTTTTATGTAGAACGGTAGCAATAACAGGAGATGTAACAGTGGTTTGGTTGCTGTTTTTTAACTTGGTTTCTTGGGTGTGTTTTTTTTTTTTTGGTTTCTGTTTAAATTACAGAAGAAATTTTTTTTGTTGGCAAGAATTTTTAAAAATATATTTTTATTGATTTCAGAGATAAAAAACATCAATGATGAGAGAATCCAAGATGGCTGCTCGGGTAGGCACCTAGCCACGCCGCACGCAACAATTTCAACAAAATACAACTAAAATATAAAATGGATATCACCCAGAACTACAGGAAAGTTGACTGACTGGAAATTCTACAACAAGAAGCAAGGAGAAAACCAGAAGGAAGCGCGGAGGAGCTGGAAAAGCCTAAGGTACGGAGACACGCGGCGCGCGGAGAGGACGGAGCCGGAGAGGAGGGAGGCGGAGTGCCTGGCGGGCGTTCCCTGGCGGGAAGGAGATAAAACTCCGACTGTGCTGGGGCCCCGACTGCTCTGAACCCCAGGCCTAGGCCAGACCCCGGGGACCCAGGCTCACACAGAGGGAGCCGGGCTGAAAGGCGGAACCCCGGGGAAGAGGCGAAAGGAGGTCCCCGCGGCGCCGCGCAGAGAAGTGACGGTTGGCTGTGCCGTGGGATTGCCTGGCAGGAAGGAGACTGGGGCTCCGGACTGCTCTGAACGCCACCTCCAACTCCACTTCCAACTGAACTGAACCCCAGTTTCGGGACCATTGGGGGAGAGACTAGACTGTTTGGTAGCAGGCGATCCAGGGCGCCTTTCTCTCAGAGGCGCTTACAACAAGTACTGAAGGACCCTGAGTCTCAGGAGCCGCATAGGGCGGGGCTGACGGAAGCCAAAGCTGTAGGCTCCACCCTGAAACCCCGCCCCATCAGGAAAGCTGCCTGCGAAAATGCCTAAACCAAATAGATCACAAATGAAAGAAATGGAGGTCAAAAAGCGACTGGATATAGAGTTCAAAACCACACTTATAAGGTTTTTCAAGAGTTTCCTAGAAAAGGCCGATAAAATAAATGAGACTTATGAGGATATGAAAAGGGATCAACAAGAAATAAAGAATACATTGTCTGAAATAAAAACTATTATGCAGAGTCCTAAAAACAGAATAGAAGATCGCAAGAATCAAGTCAAAGATTTGGAACATAAAGAGCCAGAAGATACTCCTCCGCAGAAGCTAGAAGGCAAGAGAATCCAGAAAATTGAGAATCAAGTCAAAGATGTGGAACATAAAGAGCCAGAAGATACTCCTCTGCAGTCACTAGAAGGCAAGAGAATCCAGAAAATTGAAGATGATGTAAGAAACCTCTGGGACAACTTCAAACGATCCAACATCAGAATTATGGGGGTCCCAGAAGATGAGAGAGAGCAAGATATCGAAAACATATTGAAAGAAATAGTGACAGAAAACTTCCCCCACCTGGGGAAAGAATTGGATTTACAAGTCCAGGAAGCACACAGAACTCCAAATAAAAGGAATCCAAAGAGGATCACACCAAGACAAATCATAATTAAGATTCCAAGAGCAAAAGACAAAGAGAGAATATTAAAAGCAGCAAGAGCTAGGCAGATAGTTACCTATAAAGGAGCACCTATACGATTGTCAGCTGACTTCTCAACAGAAACCATGCAGGCCAGACGGGAATGGCAAGAAATATTCAAGGTGATGAATAGTAAGAACCTACAGCCGAAGATAATCTATCCAGCAAAGCTATCACTCAGATTCGAAGGTCAGATAAAGAGCTTCACTAATAAAAAAAAGCTAAAGGAGTTCATCACCACCAAACCAGAATTATATGAATTGCTGAAGGGGGTTCTTTCAGAAGAGAAAGTAAATAAAGATAAAAATTATGAACAACAAATACGTAACTATCAACAAGTGAATCTAAAAACCAAGGAAATTAAAAAAAAATCTGAGGAGCAATATTAACTGTTGAATATAATAGAATCAGAGGTATGGAAGGGGAGTGAACTGACGATTCTTGGGGAAAAGGGGGGAGGGGGATGCGGGAAGAGACTAAACATAAACTGTGCACCTATGGATGAGGACAATGGGGGGTGCGGAAAGGGCAGAGGGTGGGGTGGGAAGGGACATTTGTATTAATATGAACAATAAAAATTAAGGAAAAAAAAAAAAAAAAACATCAATGATGAGAGAGAATCATTGCCTGCCTGGGGATCAAACCCACAACCCGGGCATGTGCCCTGACCAGGAATCCAATCATAGGTTGATGCTCAATTATTGAGCTACACCAGCCAAGTTGGTGAGAATTTTTAAGTGTAAGTGGATAAGGCTCTGGTCTCAAGATACAATCAGTGCCATTTTGCTTCAATGTCACTAAAGTACAATTAATTTTAGAGTGACTCCACTTTTGGTCTTTCCCCTCCCACTAAAGATTTTTTGGAATCTTTCACTGCCTTTAAAAAAAATTAATTTGCATTCTCCATTACTTGCTAGAAAGGTAACAAACTCCTAATCATACCATAATAATATAATTGACATTTTAACTTTATTATTTTTCTATTGTAAGAGTAATGCATATTCTTTGTACGATAAAAGGAGGGAGCACAAAAGGCATAAAAAGTTAAATTTATTTTTACTTTTTAGAGAGGGAGAGAGAGAGGAACATTCATGTGAGAGCATAACATCATCGGCTGCCTCCTGCACACCCCCTACCAGGAATCAAACCGGCAACCTTTTGGTGCATGGGACAATGCCCAACAAACTCATACTGGCCAGAGTAAAAAGTTAATTTTTAAATTTCCTATAATATCATTTGAGGTAAAACTATTAATATTTTTCTATGTATGTTTTAATATAGCTCAGCTATTATAATATATAAAGTACCATACCCAGATTTTTCAACATTATATTAAAATTATTTTTCTCATATCACTAAACACCCTTTTTGTAAACGTAATTCTAAAGGCAGCCTAACATTCCATCATAAGAATATACTACAGTTTATTAAACATTCTCCTAATATCAGATATTTAATAGGAGAGTTAGTAGGCCAAAGGACATAAACATTATTACAGCCACTCTGTTTCCTAAAAAGATGGGTCTTGAGAACACAGGGAGGGACTACACAGAGCCAGCGGGGGGAGGAGGTGCCAAGGCCGGCAGAGAAGCAGAGACTCAGAGGTCCTGGCCGAGCCGTTCCAGCTCATTGAGGAGGAAGTCCATGTCGGCCTGGGTCAGGGCCGGGTTGGCCACGATCAGGCGGAAAAAGTTGCCCCGGGTCCCGTGGGGCTGGTAGCTGATCATCATGGAGCCCTCCTTCACCATGCGCTCCTTGAGGGCTGGGGCTACCTGTGGAAGGATACACGAGTGTCTAGCTGCAGCCTAGGGTCAGGTGAGGGTTGGGCCAGTAACTTCCTGGCGGGCGAGTTACCCAAGATGCATTTCTCTCCACCCTGGCCATCTTCCTGAGGCAGCACTCACTGCTGTGATCCTGACCATGGCTCCAGCTTACCTTGTCCACCATGTCCAACCTGCTTATCCTTCTCTACCATCTGCTTTGCTCCTTACCTCACGTATTTCCAGGTTGTCACCTTGTCTGTCAAATCCTAACTTTTCCCTGACTCCCAACGCGGTTTTAGTCTAACTTCAAGCTTCTGTCATCCTGAACACCTCCTCCCCCTCTCTGAATTCCTGTAATATTTTTGCTCTGTACTCTGTGATCTGACATGCATATTTACAAGATTTCCTTGGCACGCTGGTTTCAAATAGGTAACTCTGGTTTTCCTAACATTACTCCTTAAGGGCAAGAACGATCTTATCCTTTCAGGTCATCTGCAGCACCTACCACAGCCTATCCTAGGGACCGAGGACATATCTCCTCACCTCCAGGAGGCAGGTCTGGACTGGCCTTCCTTGTTGTTTTCTCCCAGTACCAATGAGTCAAGCTCTTTCTGCCTCACTGTCCTGCACCTGAACTCCCAGCAAAGGGGTGTATGTACATTAATCCTGTAATGTCCTCTCTGTGTTCTGCTTACTTCCCAGAAACATTCCCGATTCTCCACCCACATCCCCGAGAAATGAGGACAAGTTGGCTTTTTCCAGTTCATGTCCCCAGCTCAGGAGCAGGAAACCAGCCAAGGGACCTGCCATGCCACCCACAGCCAGGAGGGGGCAAAAACACACCAACTACATCCATTTGCTCAACTAGGTTAGCCAGAGGCCCGGGGAAGAGAAAGCCTACCTTAGCCAGCCTTTCGTTGTAATCCAGACTCTCCTGCTTGCCCCGCAGGCTGGGAGGCACAAACCAGAAACACACGTTGACAAACTCCGGCTGGAAGGAATGAGGGAGAGAAAGGTGTGAGCCGTGAAAGTGTCTCCTCTCCCTGCTCCTCTGCGTCCAGCAGGGCTTTGTGTGGGGGACAGGCTACAAGGATGCAGGAACAGAAAGTACAGGGTAGGTCTTTACCTCCATGACCAACTCAAATCCTTCCCGCTTCTTCATCTCCTCCACCAGGTATCTTCAAAGGGAGAGTGAGCAGACACAGGAGGAGGGGGGAAAGGGAGAAAAGAGAGACCCAGAGAATGACTGGAGGCACTGACAGCAGCAACAGGCTTTGGGGAAGGGACGTGGGGAGGAGAACTGGAACCACCCGCCACTCCTACCGGGCAAGGGCAAAGGCCTGGTTGACACGCCGCTCCAGCCCCTGCCCGCCCTGTGCCTTCCACATGAGCCACAACTTCAGACAGTCCACCCGGCGGCCACACTGCACCACCTTGTCTCCCGTGTCCAGGGCCACGTCGTAGAACTTGTCCTGCTGGAAGAGGTAGCTGGCCTGCGACCCGTGGCAGCGCTTGAGCAGGTTCTGTGGGTGGGGGGTTAGAGACTGTCAGACCCCACGCTCTCCACTCAGGTTTCCTCTGGTGCTTTCTTAGCTCCGTCTGCCCATTCCTTCCCCTGGACCAGGCGGCACTGAGCTCCCAGCACAGGGGTCCATGTGGGATACACTGCCGACGTATCCTGATGCGATAGCTGCCGACTGACCCAGGCCCCTTTCTCTGGGTTTTCTCCTGACACCCAGAGTCCTTCCCAAACTCAGCTCGGATCCCTTCAATGACAGCTTCAAGCTGGGAATGTTTCCTCTGCCTGAAGACAGGCCGTGGGGGAGAGAGAACCCATTACAGGGAAACAGGGAGGTCGCAGATACTCAGCTTCAGATGGAGCGGTAGTTAGAACACCAGCAAGGCCAGGACCGCCTCTAAGGGTGGATGGAAAAGGAGCCAAGGTCTAAGGTGAGAAGGGACCAGGCCAGGGGTAGGGGAAGGCTTACCGTGGTGTCACGGAGGAGAAGAGCTGAGCACTGCAGGCCTGCTACGAGGAGCTTGTGGGGGTTCCAGGCCACGGAGTCAGCCCTGGGGTGGGCGCAGCAAGGGTGCGTCAGCCGGCTCTTCCTCAAGCTGCCCAGCCAGGCTCCCTTCCCTTCCCAGACCTCAGTAAAAGGAGCTTCAGTCTCACCCCGCCCAGCAGCCATATCTGCCACCTGAATTCCAGCCCCAATCGACCATCTCTCCAAACCCATCCCACCAACCTCCTTCCCCACTGCCATAAAGCTCCCTGGACCGTGACTATTCTACGGATCAAGCATTTAAACAGTGGGATTCCGGGCACAGGGGCTGTGGGCACCTCTGGATCCCATCCAGAAGATGTCTATGTGTCTGTGACAGCAGGACGCTTCCACCCCAGGCGGCCTGTGTAGCAGAAGGAACAGCAAGGGCTTGGCCTCAGCGCAGCCCACCCCACCCTCAGGCCTACGTCCTACTCACGTCCACGTGCAGCCACAGTCCGCGACGCTGGCACACGTCGGCAATTGCTTCCAGGGGATCAAAGGCCCCCAGAACAGTAGTCCCAGAGGTGGCAATGACCAGGAACGGCACAGCACCCTAATGCAAAAATCAGAGCGAGAGGGGGGCTGTGCATCCAAAGAGCAACCCAGAGTCTGGTTGCTAGAGCCCAGCTCTGAGCTCTCTGCATGCCTGACCTGGGTCCTTTCAACCTTCCACGGTACTACCGCCCCTTTAATTTGCAGGTGAGGACACTGAGATTCAGGGGTGTGGGTGGGGAGGGGTTAATACCCAAAACTCCACGCTGAAGCTCCAGAGATGGAACCCAAGCCTAGCTCTGCCTGGTGGTCTAGCTCCAACACTCATCCTCTTTCAAAAAACGTTAATGCCTTACTGGAAGATCAAATGATATTTTAAATTTTCTAGTAATGCAAAAGTTTATAAAGAAATTGAACCCAGCAGGTATGGCGCAGTGGTTGAGCGTCTACCTATGAACCAGGAGGTCACGGTTCGATTCCCAGTCAGGGCACATGCCCGAGTTGTGGGGCAATCCCCAGTGTGGGGCGTGCAGGAGGCAGCCGATCTATGATTCTCTCTCATCACTAATGTTTCTTTCTCTCTCTCCTCTCTCTCCCTCTCCCTTCCGCTCTGAAATAAAAATCTTTTTTTTTAAATTGCATAAAAATAAAAATTAAAATTAAAAAAAAAGGCGCCCAGGCCCAAACAGCTTCATTTATCAATTCTACCAAACATTTGAAAAAGAAGTGATACCAGTTCTTCACTGACTTCTAAAGAGAGAGAGAGAGAGAGAGAGAGAGATATGAGGAAACACTCCTGATTCATCCTATGAGGCTGGTATTAACCTGATACTTCAACCAGACAAAGCATCATGAGGAAAGAAAACTACAGATAATATCTCTTATGAATACAGAGATAAAACCCAAAAGACACTAGCAAACTGAAATCAACAACATAAACGGAACAATACATCATCACAAAATGGGATTTGTTCCAGGAGTGCAAGCTTGGGTTAAAACCAAAACTCCATTAAAGTAATACACCCTATAAGCTGAGGCTGGTTTGGCTAGTGGATAGAGCTTCGGTCTGCGGACTAGGGGTCCCGAGTTCGATTCCGGTTGGGGGCATGTGCCTTGGTTGCGGGCACATCCCCAGTGGGGAGTGTGCAGGAGGCAGCTGATCGATAATTCTCTCTCATTGATGTTTCTAACTCTCTATCCCTCTCCCTTCCTCTCTGTAAAAAAATCAATAAAATATATTTAAAAAAAAAAAAAGTAATACACCCTATCAATAGGAAAAGGGGGAAAACACATCTCAATGTGATCTATTGATCATCTCAATAGAAACAGAAAATTCCAACACTCCTTCATGATAAAAACATTCAACAACCTAGGAATTGAAGGGAACTTCCTCAACCTGATAAAGGGCAACTACAGAACCACCTGGCCAGGTGGTTCTGTTGTTGGAGTGTTATCCCGTATACCAAAATGATCAGACACATATCTAGGTGGTGGGTTCGATCCTTAGTTAGGGTGCATACAGGAGGCAACTGGTCGATGCTTCTCTTACATCCATGTTTCTCTCTCTCTCTCTCTCTCTCTCTCTCTCTCTCTCTCTCTCTCTCTCCTTTCTCTCTCTCTCTCTCTCTCTCTCTCTCTCTCTCTCTCTCTCTCTCTCTCTCAGAAAATACAAACAAAATAAAAAACCCACAGCTAACATCATACTCAATGGTGAAAGACTAAAAGCTTTTACCCTAAGATTAGAAACAAGACAAGGATACCCACTCTCCTCACTTTTATTCAACATGGTACTGAGGTTCTAGCAGGGCACTTAGGTAAGAAAATAAAATAAAAGGCATGTAGATTGAAAAGGAAAAAAAAAAAATCTCTGTTTACAGATAACATGATACTATATCTATAAAATCCTAAGGAATCCACTAAAACAACTATTAGAATTAGCCCTAGCCAGTGTGGCTTGGTGGTAAGAACCAAAAGGGCTGCCTGTTTGGTTTCTGGTCAAGTCTCTCGGTCTCTCCCCCCTTTCCCTCCCTCCTTTCCACTCTCTAAAAATCAATGGAAAAAATATCCTCAAATGAGGATTAACAACAACAAAACACATTAGAATTAATAAATGAGTCCAGCAAGTTTGCAGGAAACAAGAGCAATATTAAACAAGAGCAACCACCGGCTGCAGTGGCTCAGTGGTTAAGTGTTGACCTATGATCTATGAACCAGGAAGTCACAGTTTGATTTCCAGTCAGTACCTATGCCCAGGTTTTGGGCTTGATCCCCAATTGTGCAGGAGGCAGCCAGTCAGTGATTCTCTCTCATCATTGATGTTGTTATCTATTTCCCTCTCCCTTCTTCCCTGAAATCAATTAAAAAACAAAACAAAAACAAGCAACCAAAGAAAAAATAAATTGGACCTCATCAAATATAAAACTTTTGTGCTTCAAAGGACACCATCAAGAATGTGAAAAGACAATTTAGAGACTGGAAGAAGATATTTGCAAATCATATATCTGATAAGAGATTTATATCTAGAATGGAAAAAAAAATAAGCACATGACAGGATGCTCAACATCAGTAGTCACAAGAGAAATACTTATCAAAACCACAGCAAGATACCACTTCACACCAAGATATCTACAATCAAAAAGGGAAGTAACAGGCGTCAGTGAGGATGTGGAGAAATTGGAGCCCTTATATGCACTGCTGGTGGGATCACACCATGGAGCAGTCACTTTGAAAAACAGTCTGGTGGTTCCTCAGAGGTTAAATATAGAATTACCACATGACTTAGCCATTCCACTACCAGGAATATAACCGGGTGTGTGTGTGTGTGTGTGTGTGTGTGTGTGTGTAATGTTCATATAAAAACGTATACACAAATGTTTGGAAAAGGACTACTTATAACAGCCCAAACTGGAAATAACCTAAATGTCCATCAACTAAGAAATTGATAAAGTGTGGTATATCTATAGAATGGGATGTTATCCTAATCTAATAAAGAGGGAATATGCAAATTGATAGCCAAGCCATCACAAAGATGGCAGCACCCATAGCCACATGATGGCAGCACCCAGTTCCCTCAGCCCCGCTGGAGTCCCCCAGTCCTTTCAGCCCCACTGAGGGGAGGGGGAATGGCAGGCACGTGTTCCAGCGGAACCCGCCCTCAGCACCCCAGCTGCCCAGGGCTACTCAAAGCTAAGGTAACCAGGGCCAGCAGAGGTTTGTGCTGCTGGCAGTGGCAGCAGCAGAGGTGTAATGGGGCGTCGCCTTCCCCTGATTGGGTCGCCTCCCACCCCTGGGGTCTCCTGGATTGTAAGAGGGGGTAAGCCGGGCCCCACCTCCAGTGCATGAATTATCATGCACTAGGCCTCTAGTTTAGCAATAAGAAAGAAGAACTGATACATGCTACAATATGAATGAACCTTGAAAACATGCTAAGCAAAAAAAGTCCATTACAAAAACCCTGTATAGGATGATTCCATTTCTATGAAAAATCCAGAATAGTTAAATCACAGAGATACCATGTAGATTTGTGATTTCCTAATGGGAAGGAAGTATGGGAATATTGGCGATTGATGGCCAGGAGATATGGGGTTTCTTTTGAGAGTGATGAAAATATTCTAATATTTATTGTAGTGATAGTTGCACAACTCTGTAAGTATGTTGAAAACCACTGAATTGTACACTGTAAGTGAGTAAATTATATGGCATGCGAATGTAATTCTATCTTAATAAAGAAAGCTATTGCCACTTGACCAGCATGCCTCAGTGGCTGAACAGTGACCTATGAACCAGGAAGTCATGGTTCGATACCCAGTCAGGAATGCCTGGGTTACCAGCTCAATCCTCAGTGGGAGGTATATGGAGGCAATCAATGATTCTCTCCCATCATTGATGTTTCTATCTCTCTATCCCTCTCCCTTCCTCTCTGAAATTAATAAAAAAAATATTTTTCAAAAAAGCTATTAAACCAGGCCTGGCCGGCATGGCACAGTGGTTGAGTGTTGACCTATGGACCAGGAGGTCATGGTTCGATTCCCGGTCAGGACACATGCCCGGGTTTGGGCTCAGTCCCTGGTAGGGGATTGTGGAAGCAGCAGCCAAACAATGATTCTCTCATCACTGATGTTTCTATCTCTTTCTCCCTTTCCTTTCCTCTCTGAAATCAATTAAAATATGTTAAAAATAAATAAGTAAATAAAAAATAAAAGGTTATTACCCAAAGAAATTTATACATTAAAAGTGATATCCCACCGAAACCAGTTTGGCTCAGTGGATAGAGCGTCGGCCTGAGGACTGAAAGGTCACGGGTTCGATTCCGGTCAAGGGCATGTACCTTGGCTGCAGGCACATCCCCAGTAGGGGGTGTGCAAGAGGCAGCTGATCGATGACTCTCATCGATGTTTCTAACTCTCTACTCTGTCTCTCTCTCCATTCCGCTCTGTAAAAAATTAATAAAATATATTAAAAAGAAAAGTGATACCCCACTGTTCTATTTTTTAAAATTAATTTTAGAGAGATAGAGGAAGGGAGAGAGGGGCAGGGAAACAAATTTGTTGTCCCACTTATTTATACATTCAATGGTTGATTCTTGTGTGTCTTGACTGGTAATTGAACCCAAAGCCTTGGGATATCAGGATGGTGTGCCAACCAACTGAGCTACCAGGCCAGGGCCTACTCTCCGGTTCTAATTGTTGCTCATACTGCTACTGGAGGTAACAGCTGTGTGTCAATAAATTCATATTGTTCCCAATAACAATAGGCTCATCACATTGTCCTTCCTATACTGCAATTTGCTATATAAACTTTATATACCGGTATACACACACTTAAATGTATGGTGGAGGCATTTTGATGTTAGTATATATATTCCCACTTTATTCTTTTAAATATGTACATAGTGTTCCAATAATAATAAAAACAAGATGGTAGTCAATATGTATAGTACTTCATGGGCTCTAAATGCTTTACATATATTAATTCACTTAATCCTTACAATGATCCTATGTGATATCGTCTACATTATGCTCATTTTACAAAGGAAGAAACCAAGACACACAGATATGGTATCATAATTCATCTACTGAAGAACATTAAACTATAAAAAATTTTATACTTAGCTCCAGTGCACAGAATTCTAAATACTGGGATGATGATTTATATAATAGATACTAGCAGTGGGACTCTGAATCAGTGGACAGATACATTTAAAATGTATACACATACTGGTACAGTGCCAAAATGCCCTCCAAGATGGCTGCAGCTGTTCAATAGTCCCTTCTCCACCCTCCCTCTCCCCAGCCCCGTGTGGAGGCCTCCACATTTCCCACTGCTCAGTCTGTACTCCTCACTGGCCCACACACCCTCCCAGGGTTCTCTCTGTACAGACCCTCAGCTCACAGAAACCTCCCACATTACACTTCAGGTTGCCAACACCCTCTCTGTGGTGCCACCTTGGAATTCCACTCAGTCACTCAGTCCTGCTCCTGCCTCTTGGGGTCCAGTCCTGCCTGCGGGTCTCGGCAGAGTTCCCGAGAGGACCACAGAGTGTCCGTGGCCCTCAGGCTCCCCTCAGACCATTTCAGCCCACAGAGGAGGCAGGCACAGAGATCAAAGAGAGGGATAAGGGATGCCTTGAGTAGGGAGAGCCCAAAGAACCCTCCAAGAGCCGAAACCGGTTTGGCTCAGTGGATAGTGTGTCGGTCTGCAGACTGAAAGGTCCCAGGTTCGATTCCAGTCAAGGGCATGTACATTGGTTGCGGGCACATCCCTGGTAGGGGGTGTGCAGGAGGCAGCTCATTGATGTTTCTCTCTCATCGATGTTTCTAGCTTTCTATCCCTCTCCCTTCCTCTGTAAAAAATCAATAAAATATATATATATATATTTTAAAAAAGAATCCTCCAAGAAAAAAACACACCACAGCTCCACCTACGTCACACCCCTGTGTCCCTCGCTCACTCACCTCAGCTTCGGCCAGACTGATCTGCCTCTCCAGATCCTCAGGGATCATCTTCCCTCTGGAAAAGAACACGGAGTGGGTAAAGGAGTAACTGGGTTCTAGGCTAGGAAGTGGTAAGAGTAGGGTAATGTGGGGTTAGCAATACAGAGGCCACAATGTTGATATTTTCCCTAAGACATCCCAGGGCACAGGGCAGGAGACTCGTGCACTGAGAGACAGAAGCGACTGTTGTGTAGAAGCAGAGAGTGAAGCGAAGTCCACCAGGGGTGTGGGCCTGCGGCCAGAGCTTCTGACAGCAGGAAGGCATGCTGCACCGAGCCGGGGTGGGGCCACGAGGACAGGACCATCACCTCTCATCTGCCTCGACCACTCGGACACTGTCGGTGCCAAGTCCCAGGAAAGCAGCTCCTTTTTTGAAGGAGTAGTGACACTGGAGAAAGAGAGAGAGTGTGCCAGGCTGGGGTGAGAGGGCAGAGAGGATGGGGAGGGGAGAGAGACTAGTAAAAGTCAAGTGTAAGTTGTAATAGGTGAGATCCTGCAGACCTGGGCTTCTCAAGCATTCAGGAGCCTTCAAATCGCCAGGGACTTTGATTAAAGGCAGAGTCAGATACAATATACGTCTGGGGTGAGGCCTGAGAGTCTGCATTTCTAACAAACGCCCCCGTGATGCTGATGCTGCTGGGCCAAGGACCCCCTCTGGGTGGAAAGGGTGTGGACTGTGCCCACCTCACTAGTTGTCCCTTTCCATCCCCTCCCCCACAACTGAAGGCAAGGTGCATGGGAGCCCCCTGATGCGAAGGAAGCACACGTACGTGGGGGCAGGCTGACCTTGGAAGAGATGGGTCTGGGCAGGCAGAGAACCTGACAGACCTTGGACTCACTGGCTAGAGGTTAGAATCGGGAGCCTAGGGTAGGCCTGTGCCTCCTCCCCACCTCCTTCGTTGTGAAGAGGGCCAGGGGTGGCAGTGCCCGGACGCCCCTCTGCTTGCAGTCGGGATAGCGCTGGTAGCGGGCCAGGTTCACGGCATACATGTTGGAGATAGAGCCGCCTGTCACGGGGAGAAGGGATGGTGGTGACGAGAGGGACAGACAGTGGGTCAAAACTGGAGCTTGCCGAAACCGGTTTGGCTCAATGGATAGAGCGTCGGCTTGGGGACTGAAGGGTCCCGGGTTCGATTCTGGTCAAGGGCATGTACCTTGGTTGCGGGCATATCCCCAGTAGGGGGTGTGTAAGAGGCAGCTGATCGATGACTCTCATCGATGTTTCTAACTCTCTATCTCTTTTCCTCTCTGTACAAAATCAATAAAATATATTAAAAAACAAAACAAAAAACAAACAAACTGGAGCTTGCCCCTCTTGACCTCTCTACCCAGAACTGATTTAAAAAAAAAAAAATGAAGGATTGGCTCCCAGGTCTCTCTCTACCAATGCCATGAGGGCCCAGAACAGCCCAGGGATCTAGGTCCCCTGACTTCCCCCTACATATCCTGGCCTGTCTCCCGGACACCTGCACCCGGGGAGAGCAGGCACAGGAGCATCGATCCCACGGGCTGTTTGGCAAACAGGGGGAGGCAGGGTATTGGGCAGCCTCTGTCTGGTTTGGCCAGAGCCCAGCTGGAGAGGAAACAAAGAGCTCTAAGCCCTGCCAGATTAGAGCAAGGGAATGTGGGGAAGGAAGAACCCTTTAAAAGGCCAAAGGAAGACACCCCCTCCTTCTCACATACCAGGGCAGAAGACCCCATCCCCAGAGCTCCAGCCCACCAGCGCCCGGAGCTTTTTCAGCACCTCTTCTTCCATGAGGACAAACACGGGGGCGATTTCATACGTGTACCTGCCAGGAGAAGGGACAATGAGAAAGGCGAAGGGCCCAAAGAGAGGAAGGAGTTGGTGACAAAGAACCAAGGAAGCAAGAACGCGAGCAGGCCTGGTGGGGTAGCTCAGCTGATTAGAGCGTCATCCAACGCACCAAGGCTGTAAATTTGATACCCAGTCAGGCACGTACAAGAATCAGCCAATGGCCCTGGCCAATGTTGCTCCGTGGTTGGAGCGTTGGGGGGTTCAATTCCCAGTCAAGGGCATGTACTAGTCAGGGTGGGTACAGGAGGCAGTCAATCAAAATGTCTTTCTCACATCGATGCTTTTCTCTCCGTCTCTCTTTTTCTCTCTCCCTCCCTTCCTTCCACTCTTTCCACACAAAAAAATCAGTGGAGCCGAAACTGGTTTGGCTCAATGGTAGAGCATCCATCTGTGGACTGAAAAGTCCCGGGTTCGATTCCCGTCAGGGGCATGTACGTTGGTTGCGGGCACATCCCTGGTGGGGAGGGGGGGTGCGGGAGGCAGCTGGTCGATGTTTTTCTCTCATTGACGTTTCTGGCTCTCTCTCTCTCCCTCCCTTCCTCTCTGTAAAAAATCCAATAAAATATATTTTTTTAAAAATTAGTGGAAAAAATATCCTCAGGTGAAGACTGACAACAACAACATAAAAAGTCAACCAATGGATACATGAATAAATGGAACAAATCAATGTTTCTCTCCCTCACTTTTTCCTTCTCTAAAAACCAATTAATTTTTTTTTTTTTTTTTAATGAGAACAAACGAGGGTCAAGAGGCAGGAGAAAGCTTAGAGAAAGGGAGCCTGAAGGGCAAAAAGGGGAAGATTCCTCTGCCAGCAGAATACAGAAAGGGGGGAATCATTTTCTTCCCCTCCCCCTCGGCATGGCTTGTGCAAACCCACATGTCCTCTGAGGGGAGGTGCAAGGGGCCTTGGCATGTCTCACTGGCTGGTGTTGAGGCTCTCGGTGACAATACGCCCGGCCAGAGCATGGGGATCCAAGCCTGAGAAGAGCTGGTTGAAGAAGTGAGGGTGACCTGGAAAGGGGACAGGAGCTCAGCGTCGCGCTGGGTACAAACTCCAGACGCTGACACCCTCCCCACCAGAGCCGGGACCCACAGGTCTTCACGCTGTAGCGGATCACGGCCCGGCACCGCGCCAGGATCTGCTCCTTCGACTCCCCCTGGCTCCGCAGCTCCAGGTCCAGCAGCTGCCTCAGCTCCTCCGGCTCCTTCCACTCACAGACCTGGGGGGAGACGCGGGGCCCTCAGACACTCCACTGACTGCTGCCCAGACCACTTCTCAGCCTACACGAGACACCACCAACATGCACTTAAAGCAACACGTCACGGGTATTTTTAAAGCAGCTCATGATCCGGGGGAAATAAGCACAGAAAGACCCAGTATGTAATCCCTGAGGCGCACGGTGGGAGAAGCCTGCGGAAAAGTCTTGGAGGAGCAAAGTCCTGAGCCAGGTTGGTGGACAGACAGGACAGGGAGAAAGGACCCACCTTCTCAGAGGCACTGGTCCCTTTCCAAACGACTTCCTCTACAACAATCCCAAACACGTCCCGAAGCAAGGCTTCTGCGGCCGCGGGGTCCCAGTCCCGGGAGAGGAGTGGTGCAGAGTCAGCCATGGGGACAAAATCTGTGAGCAGAGCAGGAGTTATTCCCTCCGCGGCCTGCGTACGGAACCAAGAACCCCAACCCCTTAGCGAGCCTCAGGCCCCCGTCCCTGCAGCTCGGTCCTGGCCGTCACTGTTTAGACAAGAGCAAATGAGAGCACCGGGGAGAAAGCCAGGAGAAACAGGTGAGAGGAAAGAAGGCAGTGAGCACAGATGAGATGAAATCTCGTGGCCACGGCCCGCCTAACACAACGAGACGCTTACTTTTCTGCTCAGGTCTCCGTTCTGGTAAGCTGGAGGCAGGTTGCACAATTTGCGTTTCAGACTGTTAGTACCCGGGGAAGCAGAGGGAATGAGTACAGGCAGCAGTCACATGACCATGACATCACTCCGTGACCTTGCCCTAAAGAAAATGGACACAGATTTGGGATAAGGACACTAGGATAAGTCCTCTGAATAATCATTAGCTGACATGAAGAAGGAGGAAATGAGATAAACGGCAAAAAACACATACCACATTCACATCAGGGTTAAGGAGCAGAGAGCCAGCCGAAAGAGTGGCTTTCCACCTGAACCAAAGGTCCCAGAACAGGGCTTCTGGGATATGTTTGGCAGGGAGACGAGAGTGAGGGGAGGGGAGACCACGGTGGGGGCGGGAGCCTGAGAGAGACCAGCGGTGGTACAATGGTTTAGGCAGGCCTCAAAGGCCAATCTCCGCATCCCAACCCCCACAGTCTTTTCAGAACTGTCCCCCTTTCTAAAGCCCTCTCCCGGAGCAGGAAGGAAAGGAGGTTACATTGAGGAAGCATTTTGTTAAACAAGTGTAACCCTGTGCCATGCGGGCCTGAGTGCTCGATAACAGGGAGTGGCGGTTTGAAGTGAACGCCAGCTGCGTGCATGACGGGGCGCTGGGCCCGGAGAAAGCCTCCCTGTCCCCGGGGGAAGGCACAGATGTACACGCAACGGGCTTGGCTGGGTGCTGACCCCAAGCATTACTCAGGAAAAGAGAAGGCTGAAGATTGGGGAGGATCAGAGCGGGACTGGAGCTGAACCTTGGAAGCGGGCAGGAGAAATGAGGCTGACGAAAAGCAGGAAGAGAGGCATGCAGGGGTAGGGGAGGAAGGCCATGAGCTTGCATCAGGAAGGAGTGTGGCTTGCTCTAAGGTTGGGGAAAGGGCCCAGCTGCTGGAGGAAGGGTCTGCAGGGGTGATACAGGAGCACAGCTGCATAAGATTACAGGGAGCCCGGAGTGCCAGCCAGGCCAAGGAATCTAAATCTTATCCTGCAGAAAACGGGAAACCACTGAAAGATTCCGTGTCAAGCTGCAGGCTTGGCCACTCCCTAGATTACACTGAATACAACACTGCGGAATTGCCCTAACCAGTTTGGCTCAGCGGATAGAGCTTCGGCCTGTGGACTGAAAGGTCCCAGATTCGATTCTGGTCAAGGGCATACACCATGGTTGCGGGCACATCCGTAGTAGGAGGTGTGCAGGAGGCAGCTGATAGATGTTTCTCTCTCATTGATGTTTCTAACTCTCTATCCCTCTCCCTTCCTCTCTGTAAAAAAAAAAAAAAAAAAAAAAAAAAAGATAAAAATAAAAAAATAAAAACATTTACGGAATCTACCTTGGAAGAGAAAGAAGAGTCAAAGATAACCCTGGGTTTCAAGCCTGGGTGACTGGAAAAATAACCATCCCCCTGAAAGAAATTAGGGTACAGAAAGGGAAAGCTGGGTGGAGCGTGAAATGCCTATTTCTTCGAAATACTCATCCACGTGGAGGTGTCCTGGGGCTACAGATACTCATATGGGAGGCGGGCAGGCCCAGAGCTCTGATGAGATGCTAGAATGGAAAGCAAATTTGAGAGTGAGTTGGATGTCAGTCAGCTGAAGCCTTGGGACCAGCTCCATCCAGAGAGAGAGCCAGGGGAAGGGGGGCCAACACTAAGGCCTGGGACACCCCTGAATGAAGGGGCAAAAGGATCAAGAAAATGTGGAGAGGGAAGAACCTTCTTCAAAGCGGGCTGCTCTGATGTAAGCCCACTGGCAACAGCCACACTGGTTGAAAACAAAGGTCCAAGGGACCCTGATGGTCCTGCCCTTAAACTTCTCTTCAGTTGATCGTCTTTGGGGCAAATAAAGAAGTTGGCCCAGGCCTTGAGAATAAGAGTCAACCCTTTCTCAGTGCTCACTCTAGCTTCCATGATGGGGTATTTAGGTTGACAGGCTAAAGGGAGAGAGGCTAATAAAAATAGGTAATTGCCCTGGCTGGTGTTGCTCGCTGGTTAGAGTGTAGTCTCACGCACCGAAAGGTCGATGGTTCCATTCCTGGACAAGGGCATGTCACTGGGTAGCAGGTTCAATCCCTGGCTCATGGTACCCACTCTAGGCGTGTGCAGGAAGCAATCAATCAATGTGTCTCTCTCACATATATCTCTCTCTCTCTCTCCCTCCCTCCCTCTCTCCCTCCCTCCCTCCCTTCCTCTCTTCCTCCTTCCTTCCCTCCCTCCTTTCCACTACCTCTAAAAATCAATGGAAAAAATATCCTTAGGTGAGGATTAACAGCAATAAAAATAGGTACCATTGAAGGAAGTACCATACTCTGTACTCAACATGTATTATTCTAATCTTCACAACTGTTTGGGGTAAGTTTATTACCAACAGCTGAAGATGAGGAAACTGAGCTTTCAGACACTCTGTATTTAACTTGTCCAGATCACGCAGCTGGTATGTGGCCGAGCTGGGTTTGAACCCAGGTGTGTCGGGCTCAGAAGCCCCTGCTCCTAACCATCATGCTCCACGGCCACGTGTGTGGCTCCCTTGGGCACTGACTTTGCTGCAGTGTGAAGGCCGTTCGGCCAGGAGTGCCGATACCTCAGGACAGAGTTTCCGTAAAGTAAGGATTTAAAGAGAGACTCTCCAAGGCCTTGCTGGTGTTCACAGCAGCTTAGGTCCTTGGATGTGGCGAGCAGGCCAGGCAAGACTTTCCTGCCTCCGCCAGGGTGGAGAACAGGTTGTGAGGGGTTTGCCAGGAGAGAATGACTAGTGAGGAAGAGAGACACCCGGCTGGAGGAAGGCCTAAAGAGAGGACCTGCAGAGAAGACCACACTCAGTCCACCTGGCACCTTTGTCCATTCCATGTCTAGTCACCTCTCAGAAAGGAAATCTGGAGGTGAAAACGCTAAACACCCCCGTTTCCTCCAGGTGTCAACAGGAAGGGGAGGCATCACTGCCCGTTCCCCACACAGAATCCTGTCCTGGATACCTGAGAGGGGAGGAGCCCCTCCTGCCAAGAGTTTTTCTTTTTAAAAGCAAGAAGGTATTAACCCACAATATAAAATGATAAAGAAAAACAAAACAAAACAAAACAAAAAAAAACACCCACAAATCGGAACAGTGTTTTAGCTCCTGGCTGAGATGTTGATTTTTTTCACAAGTCACAAGTGTTTTTCTGACTTTATCTCTAGTCCATAAACTCCTGTAACCATCACTCCTCCATATCTTATATTCCTTCATTTCTACAACCTAGATTGTACAGTCCATCATTTCAACCACTCTTGGTCCAAAATCCTCAACTCCCAGCCCTATTGTCCTTCCACCAAACCCACCTGGCAAAACCCCAATCCAACTGGCCAGTCCTTCTCTTTGTATTTTTTAATTAATTTATTTCTTGTCTAAAGTTTTATATGTCTCCTTCCTCCCCCACCCCCCAGTTTGAACCCCGCCCCCAGCCATTCCCACCCCACCGCCCCAGTGTCTGTGCCCATTGGTTATGCTAATCTGCATGCATACAAGTTCTTTGGTTGCTCTCTAACCCTCCGCCCTGCCATTTGTCTCTGGATCTATTCTTGTTCATCAAATTATGTTGATCATTATATCCCACATATGAGTGAGATCATGTGATATTTACAGTATCTTTCTCCGACTTGGCCAGTCCTTCTCTTACCAAATGCACCAGGACGGCTGGATTCTGCTAGTGAAAACCACTTAACCATTCAAATTGGTATCACTATAAACTTATGGCCTGTGCTCACTCCAATTAAACACAGCAGATAAAAAAGCATATGTTTACCACTCCTTGTTCCTGAAACCCCACTAAAATTGCATCAGTGGAATTTTAACTCCAGAAGAATAAAGCAAATGAGAAGAGAGACAAGTGGTAAGACATGTCAATAATGGCAGAAGATGGAAAGCAGATGAAAAGTGGTAAGTGGTTTAGCAAGGGGCATAAAGTCAAAACCACTGTACCTGCAGAAGGCTGCGCCAATAGAAAACTATCTGATTCTTGGGGCTGGGCCCAAAGAGGCTCAGGAATTATAAACACCCCCTGGCTGGTGTTGTTCAATGCCCAGGGCCTCGGCCTACGCACAGAAGAAGAGTGTTAGGGTGTGGGATAAATTCCAGATCAAGGGCACATATCTGGGTTGCAGGTTCATCCCTGGGCCCTGTTGGGGCGCATGCGGGAGGCAGCCAATCAATGTGTTCGCTCACATCGAGGTTTCCAGCTATCTGGGAAGGCAGGAGGGAGGGGCACAGCTAAAAATATGGAAATTAGATGAACATTTATATAAGAAACATTTAGGCCTTCACTCTTCTCCCTTTGCCCCTTCAGTCAGGCAACTCCCCTCCCCCTAGTTCCAAAGAAGCAGGAGGTTTGTTTCCTAGAGAAACTGCAACAGGGAGGTCTGGACTTAGGAACGTCAGGCACAGCAGGAGGTGAGGATGACACTACTAAAGGAAGGGTTAGCCTTGGCCGGTGTTCAATGGTTAGAGCATTGGCCCTCAAACTGAAAGGTTGAGGGTTTGATTCCCAGTCAAGGCACATGTAGAGAGGATGCAGCATCTTGAATTTTTTTGCCACAGCAAAACTGACTAATATTGAAGTTCAACGGAAGTAAAACTATTAAAACTATTGACAACAAGCTTCAAAACTTCATATGTCAAATTTGCTGAAGATGTTAACATCATAGATATTTTTACTCTTAAAAATGTTGAATTTTGTGCCAAAAAAA